ACTAGTCTTAACAGTAATCAAACAATAAGAAAACGGTAGCACTTTATAGACTAGTTGAAATATGTATTGTTGCTCCTCTTATCATTCACCTGAAGAAGTGTACTGTATACACGAAAGCTTGTGACAATACATATTTCAACAAGTCTATAAAGTGCTACCGTTTTCTTATTGTTTAATTAATTCTATAGTAAGAGAGGACATACAAACACATATACACAGACCCTAAATTAAAATATATATCAGCAAAAAAACCCCCAAAAACTGTCATCTCATTTTAATGTCGAATATGATAATTGTTTAGGCCATTTGACATCTTTTGAAATCATCGTACCCAGTTTTATTGTTTTTGCTGTTATATTTATCGTTATTTTATTATTATTATTATTATTACTATATTTATTATTATTGTTATTACCGTATTTTGCCATTGCTATTGTTATCATTGTTAATTATTATTATTATTATTATTATTATTATTATTATTATTATTATTATTATTATTATTATTATTATATTATTAAGCCTACTATTGTTAATATTTAATACGATTATTATTATTACTATTAATATTTAATACTATTATTATTACTATTATTAATATTAAATACTATTATTATTGTTACTATTATTACTATTATTAATGTCATTATTAATGTCATTATTATTATTATTATTATTATTATTATTATTATTATTATTATTATTCTGAAACCAGCCTTTGGGCTTAAAGGGTCATCCTCTGCGTTCCATGATTGATTTCTATAAGGCTACGGTCACACTAGAGTGTCAAGCCTGGCCTGACTCACCGCGGGTGAGATTTTCGTAATGTGACCGCATCTGCACCGACTCGCGCCTGGCGTGACCTCGATCTCAATCTACCTATCTCGAACCCGGCTCAGCACCCATATTGACCCAGGATTTACCCTGGCGTGACCGAGATTTCCTCGTCGGCTGTCGACCAATCACAGTCGATGAAGCCGTTGCGTTTAGAAGTTCTTGAATAAAAAACCCGCGAGTTCTTCATGTGTGTTCAATCAAGACGCAATCATTACTTTTCATAAAAGTTAATTCAAATTTTAATTAATAATAATGCGATTGATTTGGAGCGACCAGGAAACTGATGACCTGGTAGATTTGTGGGGCCAACCCGAGCTGAGAGACCGGATAGAAAATAAAAAAACAAACAACAAAACGGGAATTTTTGGCGTGCTTGCTGACAGATTAGCCAGTCTCGGACATGAGAAGAGAACGACGGCCCAAATTCAAACAAAAGTGAAGGCATTGTTAGCGAGCCCAATACAATCTGATAAAAGATCAGTTGAAGAAGAGTGGTTCGGGCACGTCTGATGTAAAATCTTTGATTGCGATCTACCCAATCACACGCGTATATCGAATCCCGTGAAACAGAGTTGGCCAAACTCTCTCTTTACTTTATTACGGCTCTGCTGTTTTGACTTTCATAATTTAGAAGTCAATCCAACTAGTGTGACCGACCCAGAATTTCGAGCCTGGCTTGAAATCTCACCCGCGGTGAGTCAAGCCAGGCTTGAGACGCTAGTGTGACCGTAGCCTAAGGAGGGTGGATTTATGACGTTTTTCTAATCTCTTTTTTTTTTCCATGGAAAGCAATAAATATTACTTATACTAAAGAATCAAGGTTATGTTTACATCTTATTACATAAATATAATGTTTCCTGTACATTTTCTTGCTTAATTATTTGAAAATAGAATCGACTAGAAGTATTTTTTTTAATGTTATTAAAACCGATTTAAGAATGTAAATCTATTGTTGTTCCTATGCTTTTTTGAATGTCATTCATCATCATCATTATTATCGTCATCATCTGTTTTCTTCCTACAGACAGGTTCACAGCAGTTAATTCCTGTAATTTCTCTTTTATATGATTTACGTTTCATGATAGCAGCTTTCATGTGTTGTCTTCAGGTCATCTAAAAAACATTACTCTCCTCCTCGAGGCCGCTTTCCTTCTATTCTTCCTTCAGTTATATCTCTCAAAAGACCATCTCCTCTAAGTATGTATCCGATCCATTATTTCTTTCTGTCTTTATCATTGCTTATACAGTAGGCCTATTTAATGTATTTAAACAATTATTAAATTATACTTTTAACCCACTGATACAACACTCTTGCAGGGCACACCACACGAAATAACATGATACTCAATAATATCTCTCAAAAGACCATCACCTAAGTAATTCAAAACATCGAAATCACAAAGAAAAAAACAAACCCCCATTCCCACCCCCAAGCACACCAAACAGTTCAGCAATGACAAAAGAAAATAGAAATTCAAAACATCAATCACAAGATAGGACAGACCCCCCCCCCCCCACAAGCACAGCGAAGCAGATCAACAATTAACCATCGCCAACAACAAAAAGGAAAAACGCCTGGCCCTCCATGGATGTTATCAGACTACAGATTAAGGTTGCAAGTGTGATTTGAGGTTTTTCTTAAAAGCAGCTAAAGTTGGTGATTCACGAATTGTGATAGGCAAAGTGTTCCATAATTTGGGTCCACATTTAGAAAAAAGACCTATCACCAGCGGCAGTAATTGTACGTGGAATGTAAAGCATGGTATCATCCATGAGGATCTAAGACCAGTTCTACGAGATTCATATTTTTTAAATTAGATTTCTAAGATAAATAGGCGAAGGTTATTTCGTGTATTCAGCAATAATTAGGTAGTTTTCGCCGCACGACGTTAGCCTTATCGTTAACGGATGACGTTACAATGTATTCATCTTGCGTTGCGGAGTACCTTAATTGCAGGATTTACGTGCTCGACGTACGTTACGGGTTTACGTAACTTATGCACATGCGTATTTGGATTTGTTTTGCAAAATGGGCGGAGCTATCGCGTTGCACGTTGGGAACTAACGTTAAAGTTAATGTTAACGTCGCGCAGCGAAAACTACATAATATCCAAGTGGCGGGGCTTAGTGGAAAGGACCATTAAATAATGAATTACATTTTGCAGTACTTGTTTTGCACACAGACAGTATATCAGACATTACATCTTTAAGTCAGTACTTATTACTAATCCTAAGTGCCATCCAACTGTTACTGACGCATGATGATAACGATCATTTAAACAGAATAATATATTGAACATTGCGAGTTACTCTAGACTACAAGGTACCATATTAACGTTAAATGAATCACGGGCGCTGGCGAATTAAAATGTAGGGCGATTAATGATTATAGATGAGTAAATGGCTACACATCTAGATGTGTATAAGAGACAGTATATATATGCTCCAAAGTGAAATAAATAAATGAATAGACGACAACGACAACTAATATGTGAGTCGATAGCTTAATTTTAATTTGTTATCACACAATATCGAAAAGAACAACAAAAAACTACATTATATTTTTCTTTTAGAGTCAATATTTGCAGAGGGCATATTTATTGCATTGTATATTGATAATTCACTTGTACGTTATTATAACATGCAATGTTTTCGAATTACACAGAATAGGGTCACGCAAATACATTCTCTTTTCTTGCGTCATAGTTTGTGACATATGACATCATTAATATTGTGCTTAATTTCATGTTCAACCGGTTGCCGTATGATAACAGTGAAGTCCATTTCCTTTATTTCCTGAAATAGAAGTAAGACTGTGTGGATAACAAGACATTTCATGAGGCGAGTGTTATTACAAATCATAAATAAATTGAGATCTTTATTCACTCATAACAACAGGGTATTCCAAAGTGTGAATTAAACTTTATAGCTGACCTAATCGAACGGAATAAAGATAGCTAGAAATGCGCGCATGTCCCACAAAACACAGGTTTAGACTAGGCTTATGCTGTCGTTTCGTGGAAACCTTAATATCGAAAAGTCGGGCTTAGCGGGATAGTCTATTGATAGAGTTACGTAGTAAAATGTCAAACGACATTACTTAAGGAAAATTTGATTATTATCTCTACATCAATTTAAATTAGTGGCGTAGAACTTACCTATGAGTTCTCGTCTAATGCCAGGGGCCCCCGGGGCTAGCCTTTAAGACCCTGGATATCAAATCGGTACTGCTAAGCCCGGACACACATTGCGTCGTACGACTGTAGGGCAACGAATTCAACTCCGCACTCTGTGGGCGCTACAGACGACGCGATGCCGTCTGCTGACTGTCGGTGGCATTTTGAACAGATCGTCATTAAAAACGATCCGTTGCGCGCACGTTGTGTCATTGCGTTCACCATAGAATCGTGTCGACCGACGACCATCAGTGTGCCCGGCTTAAGGAGCAGAAAAAAGGTACCGGTGCCTGAAATATTGAATACAACAAATATTTATACAGAAAGCCACTTAATAAACCTACCTGAACATTACAGTCTAATTACCACCAACAAATGGGAACGGGGCGCCACACTGCCCGCTATGTTTACGACGAAGTTGTTCATTTGAGTCTAAACATTTTCTTTTGCACAAATCGCACATCGAAATATAAGTATTTCCATCTGTTCCGCAAACCGCCATGTTGTATGAAAACCAATCATCGAAACCAGTCAACTGAAGTACATTCTTAGTAAGGCGGAGTTGTGCGTCTTCCTCCTGGCAGTCAAAACAGACTATCTTGGCTATAGAATATAATGTAGAGATAACATATATAAATCGATTTTAAGGCAAATCAAGAAATATCAATTAGAATAATTAAATAAAGAGAAAAAAATTGATACGTAAAGCCGGGCACTCACTGAAGACATTCAGAGAAATCCTAGTCCTACACATATACAGTAGTACATTTGGTATTAGATTATTAGATTATAAAAATCATTTACAAGAAGAATGTGTTACATTCCTTTGTGACAAAGATATAATTTTGTCAACGGGTAGAAATTTGTTACATAATAAACAACCTTTACATCATATTTGCTGGAAATGTCATCGATTAAAAGATCGTTGAAATAATACAACTTACTATCAATTGTGCATTCACCATCATATGCAAAATCAAGACACACATCTTCGTCCCCAGCCTTCATCAGATCGCAAGGATTGTTGTACGTGCGGTTATTGGTACCACAGACCGGTCTATATGTGCGTGGACACTTTATTTCAGTTGGATTTGGTTCGACAGACTTTTCCATTTTATTCGCTGCCCTTCGTCTGGGATCGCGCATTAGATCAAACACGGAATCGGGCATTTGTTTACCCATAGGAACCACATTATCATTTTCACTGGAGGCTTCGATATCACGCTTATAACGAAATGGGCGTGGTCGATTGCCTCCCTGTCCGGGTCTATTTCTCTCGTTCGCATTTCTGGGACGAGGTGGCCTTACTGGTGTGTTGTCTGGCCTGCTATTAAGTGGAATGCTTGGTCGAGTTGATGGGTTGTTAAAATTTGGAGATCCTGCGGACGTTGGTTGGACATTCCCGGTCCCTACCGATGGTGCGCCTTGCCATGAGTTAAAGTTATACCAGCTATACCAATCGTACCAGCTGTCTCTGCTACCAGTCCAACCGGTTGGTACCGTACTCCATGAGGTGTCGACCCATCCTGCTGGCATCGACGTCCAACTGTTGTCGACCCAACCTGTTGTTGGCCAAGTGTTCCATCCAACCCTACCGCCACTTGGATAAGAATACCAACTTGATTCTGTACAATTAGAGAAAATAATTGAATCGAAATTAATTGTTTTTACGCTGCTAACTTTCAATGCGACTGGGTATGTTTGTAAGGCGGACCTATTTGCTTATGATAACTAACATTAGGCCTTCCACAATTATTGAAAATTCCTCAAACCCCCTTAAAGGATGCATAGGCCTATGTTTATTTATCTTTTAAGTGTAACAAACTAACACAAATTATGAATGAGATTTAAAAATAGTTGCAATGATAAACACTTCAAAGGGAAATGAACTCCAGTACACTGCGGCCCGCAGCCATTTAAAGAGAGAGGATTTTTTTTTTTCAATCATATGAAAATACAAAGCAGTGAACAGTTTATTGCACAGTTTATTTTCAAATCTTTTCCCCCTTTAAGATTGATCTGACGTAGTGGAATGTACTAGGAGCATTTTGCATTATGGCAACATTGCACGAACGTAGCACAGCTTTGGAAAAGATACACATGGGTACTAAACAATTTACATTACACACAAGAAAAGAAAAAGTTACAACAAGGAGAAAAAAGTATAATTATACAGCCAATGATCTGACTAGGGAAAAGCGGGCACAGCCACCCGCCACCCGCCACCCCCTCCCCCGCTCCAACTAAGACCATGTTTGGTAAAAGAGAACTGATCCCCAGTCAATGGCTCCAACCAGGCACCGCTGCAAAGGAAGACCGGCCAAATCCGGCGGCCTCCAATTCCAGCAATTCCCTATCGAAGGGGTCCCAACAGGGGGAGACCTGCAATCCCACCTCTCCGGGTAAAATCACTGACTGTATTCAATAAATGATACTATTTACAAAGGACCCCAGTTCAATAAGTTGTAATGTATGTTTCAAATATTATCTTCCTAATAATATATTAATATATTATATATATTTATATATATATAAATATATATATATTATTATTATTATTATTATTATTATTATTATTATTATTATTATTATTATATAGATTTTCTAATTTCAGAGCATCAAAATATGTTGTATATAATAGATATTATTATACCCTAAAATTTGAAAACCAAGGTAACATAACACAGCAAAGAATTTGCACAAAACAACATACAAAATTGAAATATATAAAAGAATTGATCTCAACACTAATTAAAGCCCTTACTCAGGTAAACACCCATCAACTATATATAGGTATTATTGAATCATAGGATTTCGTTCAAACTTTAAATCTATAAATTGATTTCCTGTTTTGATTGTTGAGAATATTTTTTTAAATGAAAACATAGTAAACAATTTTATTTAAACCAAAAAACTTACGCCTGAACCACCTTCGATTCCATTGGCCAGATGCATGTTTAGCAAAACATGACAAAATCAAGATACACACCAACAGTTTCATTTTCTTAGCTATAAAGCAAGACAGAAAAATAAATTAATTCGTTATCTCTGGAGAGTTTGTTTGGTAATCAGAGCAAAAAGTTCGTCAAAGTTGCCTATAGCGAGTTATCATTTCCGGTAACAATGTTTAAACTGTAGTTTAAAGGTTGAAATAGACATGTTTACAATAAGATGCTTAAAACCAGGCTCCCGAGAAAAAAAAAATAATATTGACATGTACAATTACATATTCTAAGACACTGAAGGGCTTTATTTAAAGAATTGTTTGGAAAAGGTTAAGATTGGCCTATACATTTCTGAAATAAAATACTGGGGGAAAAGGGCTTGTATCTTATTATTCTTTCCCATTTCTTTTCGATGTCTTAAAATATGTTTGTACAACACATCAATGTTTCACCTCCGGGCCCTAACGAAGTATTAATAGGTCTACATATAAAATGTAATTATAAAGATATTCATATCTACATACATTTACAAATATCATTGACGGGAGCCATACTTATATCATTTGACCATGTTGTATAAATATTTTTGTAAACAGCAATTTTAATAAAGATAAAAAAATGTATTTAAAAATATAATCGGTATGCCAAACTGAATTATCCAGATATCGTTGAATCGAAGCTAGGTACAACATAATTTTAGGTCTACTGTATAATGTATGTGATGAACTACATACATATATAATATAATAACTACAATATATATAATATTTCAAATGAAATCGGTTTACCTTTAATACAGGAATCCTTCGTTTTTGCGATTTACAAAGCAGACGATTGACAGACTGATTCTTTGTTATGAATTCTTGCAAGTAATTGACGTTTGGTCCAATGAGATTGTAGTTTTATACCACATTTTATTTTTTTGTTGTTGACGTTTTCCGGCTATTGTTTGCTATCTACACCCAATTAGGTGAATTTGTTGGGGGAATTACTTAATACATCTCTTATTGCCTCTTCAGTTATTTCTCAACTTCAGAAACTTATTTTGGATTTCCTTGCACTTCCTGCTACCAGATATGGTTATAATGTTTAGTCAATAATTACCTGCAGGTGTCAAGTCGTATCGCCAGAGATTTCATTAAACTATGTTCACATATACTAGATATACATGCAATGATAGGTGGGGTCAGGAGAACAAGTTGGACCGCGGGGTTAAGGATACAACATGTGTATAAATGACTATTGGAAAATAATTAAATAGCGGGATCTCCAAGTTTCGGCATATTTTTTTTTCTTTAAAAAGATGTTTTTGTTAGGCAAATTATCAACAAATTCAAGTTACGTAAAATATATTATAGTTTGGTAGTTGGTTCGCAATCCCATTTTTAAATTTATAGACTATAAACAAAATATGTATTTTATTTACCTCTGATATCAACCAGAATACTTCATAATCATCATCATCATCATCACCACCATGTGCTTATGTAGGCTTAGTATTTGCGAGTTTGTTCCCTGTATTATTTCTGTCGGACCCACTTGTAATATCGGGAAAAGCATTAGCTTGGATTTGAACGCGGCAACGGATACGGAGATTTTCTTTTGAAATGCGCACATAACAGTAGGCCTATGTACTACCAAATTTATTCTCTTAATATTTAAAATATTGTATTTCGTTGCATATAAAAAAACAGTGATGTTCAATCATATATCACTATATCATATTTTGAACGGAAAAGACGTCTAGACGCGACGGAAAGTCTGTGGTGACATCAACTACGGGTGGCTGTAAGGACTCTCGAGTTACACCTCTTAATTCTCCAAAGAACTTGGCAAATTACAAGCAAAGTAAAAACACACACACGCGCTGGCACAAGCGCCACAGGGATTGCTTCTTGATAGATTTGAATGTATGCTTCTAAATGTTTAAAGAGTTAGATTGTTCGATTATGTTTGCGTTAAAGTGGAATTAAACGACTAACACGCGATACTAATATGAAACTTTCTTTGAAGCAGACCTATAGTCAGTTTGAGATAGTTCATCTTGATATTCTATGTAGTGTAAAATAATGATAAGAAATTATTCAATTCATGTTTATGATAACACTTGTAGGACTTAGTAAAACCACGTCCACATAATTTAGGTAAGATGTACTATATAATTAATTTTTTTTTGTGTGAATCATCAAATAACGCTTCTTATTGTAGGCATACTAGGACTACTTACATTGTTTCTACGCACCGGAACACATACCTAAATTCTTTTGACCACCACTCCTAATTCGGCTTTATTTCTACTCCTCAGCTATACTCCTACCTATTAAGTGCTTGGAAGGTTTTGGCTTGTTAGAAAGTCAGATACTGACGTGTGAGTTGGTTGGTTTTACCGTGGTTTTACGGTACGGTATGCAATTAACCAAGTACGGTACACATTTTGGAAAAGCAAACGATTATTTCATTAATGCACCAACAAATGAACAAATTTAAAATCTTTGTACTCGATTCCAGAGATTTTGATATCATCTAAAGAAAAAAAATAACTTAATACATAACGTCACGGATGAATTATATACTGCACATGTGTATACACATCTGTATAGTGATCAGACACACACATCAATGTTAAAAGTCTATGTCAAAATCCATTAAATAATCTCTATACAATAAATAACACGTGGAACACGAATGATAAGCATACTACACTATCTGGTGTACCGATATTTTAATTAATATTTTATTATTGATACTCGGCATGCAAATCCTCAAGAAATATTTAAAATTTATTGATAGAAAACAATCTTGTGGGTTCACCATCATTCTATATACGATAAAAACAGTACTGAATATCTTGGCCTGTCAAACAAGATTAAACTAAACGTGATTTTGAATAATATATCGGCAATTATCACAATGCAATGTATGTTAAGTGGTTTATCCAATTGCACTCTAAAATATTGTTGACACATTAAATAACAGTGTGTATATAAAAAAACGTGGATAATCATTTGTCGATTTGCCTCTAATCCTGGCACGTGATCCAACAATCTCAGATCCAGAAAAAAATCTCTGTCCAGCTGCCAATATGACTCAATAATTGGCGAGAGTGTGTTTATTGTTAATGATAGCAAGTTCAACGAAGCAGAAAAAACGCATAACAAAAATTATATCGATGCAACGTATGTAAAATCAGCGGGAATTATAAAATCACTTGGGATTTTCCATTTAAAATTCGATGAACTTAATTTGGATCTTAATTATTCTAATTATAATTGCGAAAATCAGTAGAAACATTTCGGGGACATGTTTGCAAGTTGCAAACGTCTGAATTTAACATATTTTCAGGGTCTCAGACACAGTGAATCAAAATCTCTACAGGTCAGCTATTCGCATCTGATCCGCTCCAACACAGTAAATGCCAACACTAATTCAGTATACTGACAATGTGACGGGGCGAGATCAAGGGTCAGCTGTTTGAAATTTCATCCGTATTCTCTGAAAACGACATCATATTCTTTAAGTTTATTATATTTATCATATGTTGAATAACATATGATTGTCTGCGGTAACTTTAAAGTGTTGCAACTAGGTCCATGTTAAGATATAGGCCTATTATAATTTTATTAAATAATATTGGTTATTGTGATCGTAGCTGAGATTGCGTCGCAAGCTTCAGGTATTATACACGAAAGACCCTATTTAATTCATTACTATAAAAAGCCTGATCGATTTTGTATTAATTTTTTATATTGATTATGTTTAGTTTTATATGTTTATTTAATCTTTTATATACTTTTGCTACTTTTCTTTTTATCTTTTCTTTCTTCTTTATATTTTATTATTTCGCATTTTTGTCATCTTTAGGACTTCTTTCTTACATTTCTTTATTACCTCTTTCTTTCTTCTCTTTCATTTATCTTTAATTCTCTTTTCCTTATTCGTCTGTTTTACATTGTCATCAATATTATCATCATCATTATCCTTTCCACGTCATCAATATCATCTTCTTCATCCGCATTCTTCCTTCTTGACTCTTTATACTTTTTTAACGTCATCTTCTTTTCCATTTTTTTTTACTACTAACCATTTCGTTCAATTGCATATGTCTCATAGGTGCTGCTTTCTCTGATTCGAATTTACCATAAGAGAATATGATACCTAGCCTAACGTTTTAGTCAATCAATAACAAAATATGCGTTTGGTTTACCTAATGGGGATGTGGTTTGAAGAAATGTGCATTTATATTATGAAAAACATTTTTGCAGAAAAAAAAAAATTTACTGTACTAACCCAAGTCTAATGAAGATTCGAAAACTTCTTTTCTGAATAAAAGGATTATCTAGTTACATTGGGAAAGCATATTTAAGACGAGTAGGAAATCTCAACTTGACACCATCAGGCTTAATCTAATGCACAGGCCACATTTTAGGCCTACATCTTACGCATATTTATTAACGCCTTTTTAGTCCCAGTTCACCTCTAATGTAAACTAGCAACTGTATTTATAATTTTCCAGTGTGGTACCTAGGGGATCTGAGTCGTTTACCTAATCTTAATATTCCTCCCTAAAATTACTGAATCTAGTGGCGATCACATCATACATGCAAATCGCATCCTCTGGTTTATATATATGCACGCAACAAGGAAGGGGGCATAGTTTAGCTTACGTCATGCATATGCAATCTGCAATACTTTGTAGCTTGTTCATCCATATACTTGAATATTCATGAGTATACATACATTATTCTAATCATATTCTATTTATTTATATGTGCATCTATTACGTTAGTTTTGCGTTGTCATGTATCAGAAGGTATTTCTCAAAATAATGTGAATCCCCAGAAGAATAAGCATTCAGTACTCAATATGAGCCTGTATATACGCAGCGGCAAATGTAATGTACACGTAAGTTATAGCAAGGGACTTTATGTTTATCAATAGTTTTCATTGTGCCAACAAGTGCGGCAAAAGGTCTCCGCTATAAAAGATGTGTTTTTCATGAGCTAAGTTTAGTAGTTGATGAGAGCTTCATCTAGGATATTGTGAGTACATCGTAAAATACGGAAACTAAATAATTAAGCGATTGTTTTCTTCAAGAATTGAACGATTTAGCTGCAAGCTAGGACAGTTGATGATCATAGAAGAATTATCAAGGGAGTAAAGTATGCAACGGAAAGTTTTATCCTGTGCGGTAGTCCTACTGGTATGCGGTCTGATCAGTCTAGAGGTATCCGGGGATGATGGTACGTAAACTTTTATAATATTAGCACGAGGTAAGCCTAATATACATTAATAATTTGTGTTGATCCTTATAGATATACTCAATATAATTTATTTAAATATTGTAACATCTTTCTTAATGTTAGTTTACACTAATTAGCCATCTGTGTATCATCGAGGGTAGTCAACACGATTAACAATATGCGGCTGTGATTACTTTCATTTAGTGTATATCATTCACTGCCAATGAACTTTCGCAATATTCATATAATATTAGACTTTTGTTTGAGAGGTAACACTTTTCTCAGAAATATCCAATTAATGA